TTAACGTCAAATATCCTCACAATACTCACAACACCACCATGTTGGAATAATAAATTACAAAAAAACCCACCTATCACCGTAACGTTTGTACGCAGAACTAACAATGTCTTTCTCCTGTTACGTTATCATCTTCCAAACTGTATTAATTCCAAACCTAGAGAATTTATTGTCACCACCCCCAAGTACGTCCACATCGATCACTTTGACACCCACATCATGCTTGCCAACCCCATCCACTCCGTTTGCAGGTATGCTGCATCCCTCATCGTTCATCTACTGTTGCCTAACTCGCAATTTCGGGTACTCAAACTCTGCCAACAGCATATATTTCCTTACCTTTCCCTTGATGTTACGCACAAACGAGTTCGGCCAATCATCACCCTTTCTACCCTCTGCCAATAGCGGATTGACAACAACCACATCACTCGCCACCATATCCACAACATCATCTAGGCCATTATGTTCGGTTTGTTCTGGCATAGCAAGTATGCATTATACTGGGGACGCATCTACCAAAATTTTCGGATGGTTCGATGTGTCATGACTACTTGCTCGACATGTTTGACGCACATTGCCACTTGTCCCATCATCGATCACCTCATTACCTTCTCGTGACATATTGAATCGTTGCATGACATTGTGAACTGCTTGGTCCGCCAGCTGCTCTTCCAACACACTAACAACCTTTCGCAACTCAGTATTTTCCTGCACCAGTCTTCTTTTCTCTTCTTCTTTCACCCTTAACACACTTTCAAACCCTCCCACCAAATGTACTGCTTGTATCTCATTTTTTTTCTTCAAATCAGTAATTTCGTCCTCCAATTTCGAAATAATTTCATCTTTGTCGCGGTTACGTGTTTCATCATCATTAACATCCACCATAGCTCAGTCACTGATGACAGTTTTTCCGCCTTGACCATCTGTATTTCTCGTAATCTGAGGTTCAACAGCCAACCAATCCCCATCACATATTTCGATGCTACGTCTACACATGTTCGGCGTTGAACACACATCTGCACCATTGTCACTACTTCTTCCATCTGCGTGCACGCCCTCCAACAAAATTTCCCCATTCAAGATCGCAAGTTCGTGCTCACCAGCAACTAGCTTCCCCAGTCGCACCTACAATCAACAACCACAAACAAATAAAAACATGCATATCCATACATCTATAACTTTGTTTAATATTTTCACAATTAAGATTACAATAAATGTGCCACTGTCTGCCAACTTCACGCCACATATACTCGTTGTCAACTCGCCCAAGTTCCACTTCAGGAACCTTGGAAACATGTGTGCAAATTTTGCCCTAACTATAGACGTGTGTTCACATAACCAATACTACAACACAAAAAGGAAATATCAATAAAACATTGTACATTACAATACCTCGCAGCGTACGATAATGACATAAACTTTGATTTAAAGAGGCAAACAACATATACATATGGTTCGTTACAACTTACCAGCAAAGAAACCACACACCCTGTCACTTTGTGTGGTGTCCGATGGAAATCCCAAACCGAACACATCCACATATTACGTATTGCATCGGTTCAATCACACATCTTCATTGCATCCAAGTTGTCCACGTAACAAATAAAGGTCCAGCTTACAAATTCTCTAGATGTCGAAAAAAACAATTTGACACAAGCATACAGGCAAACCAGTTTGGCAGTGTCCTCATAATCCATGGTCGCACTTTCGACCGCTGCATCAAATAACAAGTCCCTTACAAGTTTCGTAGTTATTCGACTAACACCACCACTCCTGCGATGTACAAAATCTGACGCAGGCCTAGGCCATGCCGTCAAATCCAGGAATGCACCGCCACATTGTAACCCAAAAAGCAACCTCACGTCATCATCGGTGAAGTCGATGCCACGACCACCAATAACAAACTTTCCTTCGCGCACGTTGTACGTTTGTATAATACTCACGACCACATCATCACATTTTCGGAACTCGGTGTGGTCTAACTGATTAATCAGTATCGCCTTGAACAGTAGCCAAAAAGGTGTCTTCCGTAAATGAACAAGATGCATATCTGTCAACTTCACCGCGTACACCATTTGCACAAGCCCAGTGACGTTAGAACGAAAGTTCAGCCTCTGTTTCGAACATCTTGCAACACTACCCAAACGGGGTCCACTGCTCTGTTGCTTAAACAAATTACGACATTGTATAGCAGCCACAAAATTACTTGATGTCATCCCACCTTCTGCTTTTTTCCGCTTCCGTTCACATGACCGAGCCCATGGATTTGACGTCCTGCCAACTTCTACAACACAATACATGACGCCATTAATTATACAAACACTCAATAGTCGGACAAACATATACATCATCAAACACTAATGTGCATGCAGTTGCATGTTTGCAAATTTATCAATACTATGCCATAATTATGCATACATTGAAAATAGGGAAACACAAACATCAACCTATACAGAACAACTTGTACAGTGTGTAACATGCAGTTGGAGTAGTAAATATATCAAACATCATTCACCCACCCACACTGTCACATCTACGCCAAACAAACAACAACTACCAGTTAATGTAACAACAAACCACACATTCACTGCTCACATCCGCCACCATTCACATCAAATGAAACTTTCCTCACTACGACCGCATTCAAATATATCCCAACAGCAAACAAATACATACAAAAACTCCCACAAAAGTATATTTTACAACATGCTTGCACCTCGGCCACACTCAATACATTCACACATCCAACCCCACACAGCATACATACAAAACAACTTGACCACGTCTCCCCCTGACTCAACATAATACCACTCAAAATATTTTCATTTACCCCACATAGCACACCACAACACCACCAACACATATTTCAAAACTACTTACCCCACACTCCACAAAATACCAACAGGACAAACACTACCCCTCCTAATGTGTGGTCCCTCAACGTCAGTACGTGGTGCACATACAGGACCTAAAAACCCATCACGCCCAACAACAACCACATCAAATATTTGACACATAAAATCAATAAATCACGATGTATGACCCAACGTAACACCTTTCACATAATTCATAACCCAACAACAAAAACACCCTTTAGCCTAACACCATATCACGCACAAACATACAAACATAAACAACAACACAAAATACTTACTTTTGCCAGCCATTTCGTTAATCTTCAGTGTCATTGCTCTCGTTCTTCAAGTCTGCACGACGAAGTTCACACAATGCAACCTAGTTCACAGCATTTTGGGCTTCACACACCGACAAACTCACCACCTTCTATCAACCAACGTATTGACACTCGACCCACAAAATCGTGAAATCCTCCCCGAATCTCGGAAGTGGGAATCAGTCAGGGAGATTTTGAAATTTGAATTATGGCGAATTACAATGAAATTGAACCTAGGGTTCTTCTTGATGTGGCAACTTTTCAACTATCCAATTTGGGCACTTTCCACACACACATTATCCTTCCATTGTGGATCGAGTCAAAAAGCGCTTCCGTCAAAGACGGTATTTTATTGGCTACACTTGAACCAAATATTCGCATCCGGATCTATGTGCGTACCACGTTATGAGGTTATTCACGCTACATTAGCTACAATTACATGACGTGGACTGTTCATAACCCCACCTTCACACACCAACAATTCATAATAACAATAAAAGTATTATAGCGCTTTTGTAGGCTGCGTGGGCAACACAGACCCTTATCTCCATAAATACAAACACAACTATAATTTCCCAGTGGCAAATTGGTAAACAATAACACTAAAGTCCTTTTTGGTTAACAAGAAAACATTTAGGATCTAATGGATTACAAGATTAAAATTTGGGATTTGTTGGTCTATCCCCCTAAAAAGTAATTAAGGCCTCATTTAACAACTAATAATTTAGTTAAAAATTTTAAAAATTAAAATAAGTTATCATATTATTATTATTTTTCTCATTTTTTCATAAAAAGTTAAAAAATTATTAAAAAATTATTTCAATACGATTATTAAATTAGTCAATAAATAGAATGGAAAGAGAATTTATTTTCTTTATTTTTTACATGTCTTTTTTGTTAAAAATTAAAAAATCATTAAAAATAATTGTTTGGTTCCAATTTCCTAAATTCAATTTATGAAAATTGAGTTTTTTTTTTTTTTTTTTTTTTTTCATTTTTTTTTTGGTTTTTAGTGATTTTTTTTTAATATTTTAAGAATTTTTTTTTTCTTTTTAGATACACTTGGTATAAATACAATTAAAAAGTATAATATTTATTGAAAAAAAAAAATCTTTAAAAAAGTCGCTAAATACCAAAAATATAACAATTTAATATATTTTCGTATTTTTATATATTTATTGATTTTTTAAAAGTATTTTACTTTTTAAATATATCTAAGTTAAGATAATCCAAAAAATAAAAAATTTATTTAAAATATTAAAAAAATTATTAAAAATCAAAAATAAAAATTAAAAAAATAAAAGATACAGGGCCTGTTTGGTTTGTTTTTGGAAGAGTTGTTTTTGGAAAAAAGTTTCAAAATTTTGTTTGATTTGTGATTTTTTTCAAAAGTTTTTGGAAAAAAGTTTCAAAATTTTGTTTGATTTGTGATTTTTTTCAAAAATTTTTCAAAATCACTTTCTCTCTCTTATACATCAATCAATAACTTTTTCTCTCCCCTCTCTCATTCTCAATCACTTTTTCTCTCGCATACATCTACTTAATTATAACAAAATATCAAATAATCCCAATCTCTCAAACTTCAAAACTACTTTCAAAATATACAATCAAACAAATAAAAAAAAAAATTTAAACTCCCTCCTTAATTTTTTTTTGAAAATCATTCTCTCAAAAACAAAACAAACCAAACACACCCTGAATTTTTTAAAAATTGAGTTCATGGAGGAAATATGACGACCTGTCCAGGTTATTCGCACGTGGCAGTCCTTGGAGCATGGTTTCATGCGCTCTCCGTAATACAAAGGTGATCGTAGCAGAAAAAAGTGGGGGGTTTTAGGGTTTTAAGAGGCCGAGAGCACCGAGTCGCTAACGTTCCAGGGGTTTTAGAGAAAGCTCTTAAGATGGCATTCTGGGGTTAGTTTCCGATTACATTTTTTTTTTTTTGTTTTTTTGTTTTTTTTATATTTCAGGCAACCAAACAAGGGGTTTGATTTTGTTGCAATCGATATATATCGGTTATATGTGGATTTTATCTGTTGTTATTCTCGCAGGAATTGAAGTAAAACCGGGCAAACCGTACACTCATGAATTCGATGATGAGCAAGGAAGGCTTCACTTATCTCTGGTTTGTTTTCCAAGTTCACTGCGATTCATTTTTTTTTTTAATTTTTTAATTAATTAATTATTTTTTATTTTTTATACAAACTACCTTCAAGGTTTTGAAAGTTTTGATAACTTTGATTTTCGGACATCATTGAGTTATGTGATATTCGTCTGTTTTGGTATTTTTTTTCTTTAGGGCTTGTCCAATCATTTACTCTATTTTTTCATAAAATTAGGTTAAAAGCTTTGATGTGATAAGGAAACTCCAATCCTTACTCTCTTGTTTTCATCAAATATTTTTGAACAATTCCAAATTTTATCCTGAAAATCTGCTTTAATCATTGCTCCTTCTAAAATTTCATCAAATTTGAGTAAATATATGACTGTTGAAAATTTGGCGAAGGATTTGATTGGGTGAAAAAATTGCATCTCCCTTTTTATACAAATTTGATGAAATGGTTGGAGCACACTTTTTGCCATTTTTTTTGTTATCAATTGATAATACTACGAGTCTACGAGTTCCAGAGGGAACGGGTCAGATTGATCCATGCTTTCCAAACAGTTGCCTGAGTGTCGAGCCCGCAGAGAGACCTGCACGAGGGTTCAACGGGGAACGGGGAGTCCCCCAGCGAACCCTCCGACGATCAAGTTAGAGAAGAGCGAGGGTGATAGAATGTAGAGATAGAATGGTGATAGAGAACTTAACCCTTTTCTTTGTCTTAGAAAACCTGCTTATATCATTTGATAACCATTTCCTTGTCCACTCTGAGCTGTCATGTTAGCCGAAAGTCTATGTTCTAGCTTGCGTTGTTCGTGGTGAGGCTGCCTTGTTTGTGGTGAGGCTGTTCTGTTCTAACGTGAAGGGTTACCATAATAAATGCTGCAGGGAAACTCATTAATGATTGATGTGTGGTGTAATAACTTTACAGGATCTTTGTCTGATGTGGCTGGTTCTTCACTTGCCAAGTGTTTAGATGTTATTAGTGCTTGGTGTAACGTTGGGTTTCAAAAATGTTGGGCTTTAGTATTTGAATCATGGATTGGGCCTCAAGTGGTGGGCCATATCCTTTATGGGCCCACCCATGTCATCAATTTTGATTTTGATGAAATGGTTGGAGCACACTTTTTTTACAAAATTGCATCTCCCATGTTTGCCTTTTCTCTCCCTTGTGTGTCTGTATTTGAATTTAGATAGTTGAATCTAGTCATATGCTCTAAGAGCATATCAATGAGTGTTTTATTTTGGCGTAACAGTGCTAAAATAGCAGTGCATTACAAAACACTAGCAATGTAGCATATATTGTACTCGAGTAGAAATAGCACTATACTATTTTATTCTATATGTTTGACCAGTTAACTTTTTTTGATAAAAAATTCATCGATGCCATTATATTTGGAGCTTAATTTACCACTAATTGAAACTATGTCATTTGAAGATAAATTAAATGTAACGATAAAAATTACATGCACAGGTCCATTTACTTACTTTGTAACTCTGACTTAAATTAATGAATTGAAGCATTATTGTATAAAATTGGTAGTTGATAGATGACGAATAAAAAATAAAGTACATAAAATACTACTATGTTGGAAAGCTTGTGCTGTTTTAGCACAGTAAATAATACATAATGTTGAGTAGTTTGTTGTAAATGTGTATAAAGTGCACTTTTGTTGTAATAAAATAGCACAAAAAATACTATATCACTGGGGATGCTCTAAAGAAAAAGAAAACTGAAGAGGATTTTGAGATCATTCAAGGTTCTTTTCTTTTTCAAGGGTTTCTGTGTTTCTCTAATTTCGTGTTACCTAGTCGAAGTGTTTTGGTTGGTATATTTTGAACACATTATGTAACCATTTGATGATTCAGGCAACGTTAGGCACTGGTTCATCAACAAAGAAGAGCATACTCCAGTGCAATGTGGGAGATAAGAGACCAATTTACTTATGTTCTTTGTTACCAGATAGAATTGAGACTTGTCCATTGAATCTTGAATTTGACGAGGAAGATGAAGTTATCTTCTCAGTAATTGGGCCTCACAGCATTCATCTTTCTGGTTTCTTTCTTGGTGAAACTCAAGATTCTGCTAGAGATGATTATGGGACGTATCCTTTTGATTTTGTCCAAGTTGATTTCTCTCTGTACTTTTTATGGTTTTGTTCACCTAATTTTTAAATTATATGAACAAATGGCAGTGTTAAGTTGAATAACCTGCTCATGCACTTGTGCGTTTGGGATTTTTAACTTCCTAAACTATGATAGTGATTCAATTGGGGAAGATATTGGTGAGACTGAGTCTGATGAATCTATTGATTATGATACTGATGAAGATGAATATGAGGATGACTTTATTGATGATGATATGGACATGTACCTGTCCTCGCCTGTCCCCAACAGTGGAGGTATAGCCCTTAAGCTTTTGTATCCTCTCACATGAATCCCTCCAACCTGCAAAGTTTAGGTTGTTCACTTTATCATTTTACCTATCACATGCTATGAGGCACGGGTACAGGTACGAGTATGGCTTAATACGTTTGTAAAAAAATATTTATTTTTAATTTGTAGTAATGCAAAAATTGATTATATGGTTTAATTTATTAAGATCCAACCTACAATTAATATTTAATGCCAAAAGTAAAGAGGTATAAACCAAAATTAAATGTCATTATATTAAATAACTGCCAAACCATAGCTTAATTTCAAAATCATGCTAAGTATAAAACTAAAAAATAAAAACGAAGTCTAGTCAAAGGAATTTTATCTCTGTAGTAGAAGAAAATATTGTTTCGCCTGAGGTACAGTACAACTTGAGTATATACTAGGTACGTCTGAGGACGTCAAAAGTTAATAAGAAAAAATTTGGATACGCGTTTCGTGTACCCGGTACGTATGTAGAAGTGTTATAGGGCAGTAAGTACCCAGTACGGGTACGGTATGTTTGTCGAAGTTCCCATGCTTCGTAGATCACATGCCTTGCCAACGCTAGTCGTACTTTTGGAATTAGTTCCTCCAGAAGTTAAAAACTAGTAGGATTATTTGGAAGTTAAAAACACTCCTCAAAGGCCTTTGATTATTTGATTCTTACTATAATGTTATTCAAAAAGTTTTCAACACAAGGATTTAATAGTGAATGTTGAGAATATTTTAAAATTGCTTATGGCTTGAAAATTTATATTATACTGATTACCCACTTAAATCACTATAAAGTATGATAGTGCTATTTTGGAATATTTTAAGTTGGCATTTTACTTAAATTTTTGCTGTGGTGGGGATATATGTCCTCTTTGAGTTGAAAGGTTATCAAACTTCTATAAGTTCATTATTATATTGTGCTTTGTCATTTCTAACAGTATCTAACATTTGATATTCCTCGTTACAAAATTTTGTTGGTTTTATATCAGTGGTGATAGAGGAGATATTTGATGATGAAAAGGCTGCTAATGAGAAAGGCAAGTCTAAGCAAGGAAAGAAGAAAAACCCGGTGAGCACTTCTGACAACAATGGAAATTCTGTGCAACAACTTATTGTTAAGAGTGATACTGGTGGCCGAATCTTAGAAAGTGAAGATGAAGATGGCTTTCCTATATCTTCCCAGCATAAGAACAATGCTGATGCTTCGTGTGTCGAAGGAAAAGCAGAAGAAACTAAAGATAATATAACTGATAAGAAAACCAAGAAGAAGAAGGCGAAAGATGATTCTGATTGTGTCAGAAGATTAAAAAGAAAAGTTGATGCTATTATCCAAGATGGTGAACAAACAATGTGAGTATATCTAGAAAGCCTTGACAATGTGAGTTTCAGCAATGTGAGTTTCAGCTTCAAAGAAAATTTGTCAGCATTGGTAATATTTTTTTTGGTTGATTCTAGAAATTCTGTTTCTAGTTGATGTTTATGGTATATTGGAGTGTGATTATGAATAGCCTTGACAATTGGTACCTCTAAGATTCTTTTGTAATTGTGGTTTCATTATTTTGGAAATAGGGAAAAAGGCCAGCAGATTGATTCTTCACTTGCAAATACTGAAGTAGTTCCTGAAACTAACATGAAACAAAAGGAGAATAAGAAGAAGAAAGTAAGGAGTAAAGATGAAAAGACTCGTGAGGCTGGTACAGACAGCAAGAGCAATATCCCGCCTGAGGCAGCTACCGTGGACACGGAGCAGGCTTTGCCAGTTGGAAAGGAATGTGATCAGAAGTGAGTGCTTCCTCCAAACATTTAGACTCTCAAATCTGGGTAATAAACACTGCTGTTTTAGTGCGTGTTGAACCTGTGAATATGCCCCCTTTTGGCTTGATTGAACACAAAAGGAAATAAAAAGCCATACACCATGTATATTCTTTGAAGAAAAAAAGAAAAGGAAAAAGGGGAGGAAGAGGCTTGAAGCTACAGAGTAGTTTATGCATTATCATGCATAAACTGGGAATGATCATATCTTCAATCCCACTACTACGCAATAATGACCAACAAGTCATTATTCCTTTTCACCTAAACTATTAGAGCTCCTTTATAGAGAAGATATTGTGTCTTCTCTGTGCTTCTGTCTGCATGTGAATGTCTGCCTATGTCTGCCAGCACCTGTGAAAGATGTGGTTAGCATATAGATGTGAAGAAGACCTGAATTTCAGTTTTCTCATAGCTTTGAAGGTTCAGAAATATTTATAAGCATTTTAAGTGTTTGGAATTTCATTTTGCACCAACCTTTTCTGCAAATCCTGTGTGGATACATATAATTCTCCTCCATGAACTGACAAATGCCTTCCATTATTTGTTTATGTATTGATTTATTTCTTTGATAAAATGGAAGCTTTGTTTTTAGCTCTGATCATGATTTTAATGCTAATGCCAAGGCTGGTTAACATGATTTCTTTTGTTGGATATATATCAGGAACCTTGATATTGATCCTGACTCTATTGCTGAGGGAAAGAAAAAAAAGAAGAAAAAGAAAAAGAGCAAGAAGCAAGGGAGCGATGCAGATGCAAATGTGGATCAAACTGTTCCAGACAAAAATGGATCCACTATAGAGATCGAGAAGAAAACTGAAGTGAAGCCATTTCAAGTGAGGTCCTTCCCAAATGGATTGGTTATTGAGGAGTTGGCAATGGGTAAACCAGATGGAAAAAAAGCTTCTCCTGGGAAAAATGTAAATTCTTTTTCTATTCCTGGGAAAAATGTAAATTCTTTTTCTATTCAGTTGTAGTCTTACATATTAGGATACTGTTCTTTTTAGCTTGGGCCAACATGATGATTTGCAAAAGAGCAATGCTGGGGTCCCTAAAAAAATTATGAAAATTTTTACGCCGTACTCACATGTGAGTATTGGGTAGAATAGTTGGTAATTTTTTTGGGGTCTCTTACATTTTTGTTTTCAAAATGGTCTTCTTTTGATCTACCAAATGGTCCATATCATCTAGTGTGTTAGAATTGAACGTGAGAGTCATGAGACTTGAGACACATGGTGCAACTTTGATTTATGTGGACTCGGCCCGCACCCGCCCTGCTTCCGTCACCCCCCCGATTTGCCCTGCCCCCAATATGATACGGGGCGGGGGCGGATTTCTATAAACCCGCTCCAAACCTGACCTGTGGCCATTGACATTGTGGTGTTCTATGAAGCATGGACACTCCAAAATCAGTGCCGTGGTGGTGTCCGACAGGGGAACACGCCGGGGACACGTACGAGACACGCCATCTGGCGTGTCCCTTTAATTTAATGATTTTTTTTGTAGGGGACACGACGTAGCTAAATTTTTTTTTTCTTTTATTTTGCCTCTCTTATTTAGTACTTTTGTGAAGAATATTGTTGGATGTTGAATGTTTTTCCCTTCTCGTCTTAGTTCTTGTTATCGTTTATTACGATTTTTTTGTGAATGGATGATCTATTAATTTGTTTAAATGTAGTGGTAATATTTATTGAATTAATGTTATTATGTTAGTGTTTGTTAATTTTGATTTAGGATGAATGTAATATAAATCTACATAACATATAAAAATATACAAAAATAAATAAAATAAAATTCACTGTGTCCCCCGCCGTGTCCGTGACCCCATTTTTTGAAAATTGCCGTGTCCCATGTCCGTATCTGTGTCCGTATCCTTGTTTCATAGGTGGAGTTAAGCCAATAAGTTGACTTTCTTAGGTAATTAATAAATTGAAAAGAAGTCTTGTCTGCCTTGTGCTCGCTTGTACTTATTTATTTATATTTTTAATGAAATTTCTCTTTGTAGCTTATGAAATAAAAAAAAGAAAAAAAAAAAGAAAAGAAAAAAGAAAAAAGAAAAAATGAATGTATATTTACCTTTATGCCAAAAGCAAAATGCTTGTAAAGTATAATGAGACAAAATGCTTGTAAAGTATATTGAAATAAATATATGTAATATTTAAATTTTATACTACTTGAATTTATGTTGAATGCATTTTTCTCTCATTTAATTGCAGAGAAGTTTGTTTTTGTGTTTTAGGTTAGCGTCCATTATATTGGCAAGCTTAAAAAGAATGGTGAAATATTTGACTCAAACATTGGCAGAGCCCCTTTTAAGTTTCGCCTAGGTAACTCTTATACTGAATTTGTTATACACATGGCAGGAACTTGATTAGTTGTGTTAATTTGTCTTGTGTTGTTTTTCCAGGTGTGGGACAAGTTATTAAAGGATGGGATGTTGGGGTTAATGGTAATTATTCTTACCAATTCAGGAGGCACTTTGTTTTTAAGTTATTGTTCCTTAGTTTTTTATTTGCAAATATTGTGAAGAATTCATGACATTTTTTATTCAATGTCTAATCATCAGGCATGCGTGTTGGGGACAAAAGAAGACTCACAATTCCACCAGCCATGGGGTATTCAATTGCTTTTATTTTCAATACATAATTGTTACCATTTGGTTTGATACATCTGATGTCTGTGAACCCCCACTTTAGTAGCAAGTCCATAATCCATTTAGTTTTCGATAAATGACACTTTTTATTGAGAGAGCATAGAAGTGGACCTTATTGATAAGGGATCTTTCTTCTTTTTCTTTTTCTTTTTTTTTTCTTTTTTTCTTTTTTTCTCTCTCTCTCTCTCTCTCTCTCTCGCTGATGACATTTTTAATTTTAATTTTAATTTTTTTAATGCAGTTATGGGAGTCAAGGTGCTGGTCGAGCGATACCACCCAACTCGTGGCTAGTTTTTGATGTTGAGTTGGTAAACGTCCATTGATTGGCCTCTCTAAATGTGAGAACCTTTTTGTGTTTTTTATTTTACATGATTAAAGCAGTTTTGGGTGTTGTTTTCTTGGTTGGATAAACTGAAAACAGATTGTGCTATATTCAATTCTGGGAATTGTTTTTTTCTCAAAATATACTTGGAACTTGGATTACGAGTATCTAGTTCGTATTATCACATGCTCTATTTTCATGGTTCCATTGGAACAAGCTAGTTTGCCTTGTTTTTACACGTGCGTGTCCATGTGTTTCAAGAATTGCATAGCACTCTCGATCAATAAAGCAATGTGTATTGTCTGTATTTAGTAACAGAAAATGAATCTGTTTTTCATTCTCGATCTATATCTTTGTTCTCTGCATTCCTATATTTCTTGTAGGAGTATTCACATGTTTAAAAATGAATTAGTGTAACAATTTTTTTTTTTTTTTTTAAATCTTGTGTTAATTTTATTTTTCAGTTTAAAACCACAAGTAGTTAAATGTGCATATTTTTTTGTAAGTTTTAACCAAAAATTTGACTTGAACTATAATAGCGTTGCATAGCCATGAGTCTTAAATAAGTCAATAGTAAGATGAGATTTGTCGATAATAACTCTAAATTTGAGAACTAGTGAAAGATGTACACAGAAGAGAGGTTATTAACTTTGTGCACTTTCCCATTGCATGTTAATGTTGCACTGCAAGGAAATATGATCAATTTTACGGCACCATAGAAGAGCCACACACTAATAGGCCTGTGAAACAAAACCCGAGGGCAGGGCAGACAATCTAATCTAATCTAGCCTCTTTAACTGGTGCATTCCAAAATGTTGGCACAACCCAAATGGGGGGTTGGTTGAGCATTGCATTACACCACCAATAATTGAGTTCTAAGTTAAATGGATAGAACCATCCACTCTTTAGAGTAACCACATTCTTATCGAGCGGTGCATTGCAGATATAAGGTTTTTTTCGTAATCAGAAGTTCAGGATTGTAACCCAATGTATATTGACCTCGGTCAACATTGGCCTGGAAAATCAGAAGCTAAAACAGAGGGCGTAGTGTTGTCACCCAACCCGGACCCTTCAATTCAATCCAGCACCCCAAATCAGCTGAGCCCCCAGTTCCGGTACCAGTATCACATCTGTTGAATTTGAAAATTTTAAATTCCGAAGTAAAATTTTCCTCTGTATACAATCTAGCTCCTGAAACTGTAAAACCTGCAATAGATCTCCACTGCATGATTTTACAACATACCTCATGTTACAAAAAGGTTTGATTCGAAGGACTGGGGCAACACATGCAATACTTATCTTACATTGATGAGATACATCTGTCTCAATCGATATAACTTGATCAGAAGGGAAAAGGTTTATTTCTATTACGTTGTTATAGCAGCTGTAATAGGTGGTGATAATTACTACAATTGTTATATAATGGCATTATGTAACGATTGTGGTCACTTTTTAAAACCTTGGGAACAATAGTATCTATCAATTTGTTTTCTTCTTAAAATGTAACTAACACAACAATCAGTATATTTGGTTTTAGTTTTTTGAATTCAATTTTTTAGAAGTTGAGTTGTTTGTTTTTCGTGTTTTTTTATTTTTATTTTTAGTGAATATTTTTAAAATTTTAAGCATTGTTTTTATTTTTTTAGATGCACCTTATTTAGATGTATTTAAAAAGTAAAATATTTGTGAAAAAGTATTTAAAAAAATTAATAAATATACAAAAATAAGAAAAAATATACTAAATTTTCAATTTTTTTTTTGAATTCTTGGTATTTAGTGAATTTTTTTTTTAAAAATTTCAAGAAAATTATACTTTTTAAGTGTATTTATGTTAGGGATGTCTAAAAATTAAAATATTAAAAAAAATTCAATAAAAATAAAAAAATACAAAAAATAAGAAAGTAGAATTTTTTAAAAATATTTGTGAAAAACTAGAAACAAGTATAGTGAATTTAATTTAATTTTTTTTCTCTCCAGAAAGATAGTTATTAACAAAATATATAAATAAAGCGCGGCTAGAATGCAGCATACAACATTGACTTCTTGGAGGTTTTGGGCAATCCAGAAGGCAGAAATCAAATTCCAATGTTCAATGTGTCAAAAATTCTATTTTGTTATGGAATTCAAAACGCTCCTACTAAAAATTAAAATAAAACAATCCTACAACTTACACTAGTATGTGAAATTGGAGCACAAATTTCCATTAGTCCACGTCCAAAGTCAAATTTTACTTTATTCTTTCAATAATCAAACAAACAATAGCAACGTGTTTTCTGGACGAGAGAAAGTAAAGAATATGTAATTAAGGGTGGGCGGCGAATATATCGATCTGTCTAAATCGATTAAATCGAATTGATCTGTCACATTTTAGACGGATGCGTGATGATGAGTAGGCGGTTGCAGATTGATTTTTTTCAAACCGCCTAGTTTTGGACGGATGGCGGATTTGAGGTTCTTTTGGCCGTAACTAAATCGCCAAACTGCGAGCATCCCTAATAATTTGTGAGACTCTGTATTTTTAATTTGTTTATATATTTTGTTTGTGTTTTCAATTAAAAATGAGTTTAAATATTCTGTTAAATATTTTATTTGGTTTTTAAATCTAACTCTGAAAATAATAAATAAAAAGATGATATATGCTGATTGATTTTTATTTTCAAAAACAGATATAAATGTAACAATATAGAGACATACAATCTCTACTACGGTTCTGTTCATGGTTTTGGTGGTTTGAATTGTTTTTCTATTTTAAAAATTACAGATTGTAATATTTTATATAATACTTTATGTGGATGGTGCATGTTGTGATTGTAATATGTGTATGCTGTATGCAGTGGTTATAATATTATAAAGTTTCAAACTTTTTTTTTTTTATGAGACATGCAGTAATTGTAATATTTTTTTAAGTCATTGACTGTGCTTTTTTTTTTTTTGGAGGAAGTGCACAAGTTGAATTATGTTGAAAATTTATAAAATTTTAAACCGCCAAACCGATTCAAATCTATCCGTCAATCCGCCAATCTGGCGGACGAATGATGAATTGAAGGTTTCGTGACCACAATCGACCCGCACTCACCGGTGTTTTGGGAAGATGGGAAAAAATTACTTTTTAATTTTTTTAACTTTTTTGTGAGAGAGGAAAGTGAGTTAAAAGTTGAAAAGTGACTTTTAACTAACTTTTCAAAATAGGCAGCACAAATGAATGGAATGCCACAACTGATCCAGACATATTTTTTAAAACCATTATTTTATTTTATTGTTGTCAAACCCATTGAAAGATTTGCAATTGCAATCAATGTCAAACTTCCAAAAGAATGGCTAACTTTTGTCAGTGGCGTATTGGCATAATTGATAGGTACCAATGTTTCAAAATACGCTGTTACATAAGGATTGCGGCTATTACGTAATGGTTGTAGCAGTAGGCATTATACATTACTCTTGTTTTTATAGTATGATTGAGATTCATAGATATGTCGGTTGTAACAGCCGTAACGGTGCCGTAACAGTCCGTTACACACTTTTTTGAGCTGATTCTTTTCAAAGAAAACAAAAGAAAAAGTTGAAAAACTATGGATGCTCAATAAATTTTGTACATACTTTTATGATTGAACAGATTTTGTACAGACTTTGTTTTGAGTTCTTTTCAGCCCGTGAACCATTTGAAGTAAGATTCCATAATATTCATAATAGATCCACAACCTTTAATCTTTAGAAATTCTCCAATTGAGATTCAGAACTTCAGATCCATAAATTTTCAACCATCTTGAATTGAGTTTCTTATAAAAAAAATAAAGAAAAGTGGTTCATAGGAAGAGGGATACAGAGAGAAGAGGAAATATAGATGAGTGTGAGAGAGAGAGAGAGAGAGAGAGAGAAAAGAGATGAAAAACCCATGTTGAAGATGAAGGAGATGAATAATATTGGCTGCCTCTGTAAAAGGAGATGAACCAGTGTTAAACCTGTGATTCTGTAAGTGAAAGTTTTGTTCGGTTGCCTTTTTTTTTTTTTTTGTTTTGTTTGGCTGCCTCTGGTCTCCGACTACTAAAGAAAATTAGGAAGATATGTAATCATTTGTTTTTCTTTGTGTGGTCTCCAACTAGCCTTTTATTTTGGTTTTATTTATTTATTTTAAACAATAATCTCCAGCTGGTTGTTTGTAAACCAAAAAAAAAATAAATTATGGTGATATATTTAGCAATTTTAATTTAAAAAAAATATTTATATATAGCTAAGTACTTATTTTTAGCATTTTATATATAATAATTAGTGATTGACTTTTTTTATAATATCTAAAAATCATAACACCTATAATTATATTAATACATTTTATATAAGTCAGTTTTTATTGAATTTTTTTTTCTTGCAGGTTATTCAAAAAGATAACAAATACTCAAGTGATTGAAGCCCAAAAAGCAACTATGTAAGAATTTTTTTCTTTATAATTTATTTTTTAATTTTTATATGATTACATTAGCATGTAAACTCAGCCTTGATATTTTTTCTTCATTGAATCCCAAATATCCTTGGAAGTTTATTTGCTAAGAATTGTTTCCAGGAGAGATCGATCAATGGCCTAAAATAAGTAATTCTTTGCCTTTAAATCTTTAAACTTCAGTCCTTCCAGCTCTACTTTTTGTGCATCTGTGAATGGCATGCCAGTTGCAGGTGCTGCTACACCAGTTTCAATGACTTGCCAGTACTCTTTAGACCTCAAGAAGTTCTTCATCAGCATGTTTCAATGGTCATAGTGACCATCGAAGCGAGGGATTGTTGCCTACACAAAATTAGTCTCTGTAGCCATCGTTTCCCGTAAAAAAATTAGAGGAGATAAAACAATTGCTGCTATTTTGGACTATTTTGGGGACTATTTTGATGACTCTCACAGTTTTGGGAACTCTCTTTTGCTTTCTCACAAACTAAACCTTGCTCTGATACCACTGTTACAAGCAGTGAAGATGAAGAAAATGTGAGACTTAAGGACTTGATTTTATTCATCAAATAAGACTGGCTTTATATAGGCTCATACATAACAGAAAATACCACAAAAGTAGGCACTACTTAGTACTAATAGCATGAAAGTAGGCATTGCATATCACCACTCAAATGTGCAAAACAAACTCCTATAGACTAGGTAAATAAAAACAACCTGT